GTTGGAGGGTACTCCTTCTGTTTTGTTGGACTGCTGCTGTGCTGGGGGGGCGGGCAAGTCTCTCTGAACCTCCTTTCTCCTCTTCTTTGCAGATGGCGGTTCCCGGGTCGCTGTTTCTCCAGGCCGGCTGGTAGGAGAAGCCTCTGCAGCACAATGCTGCTTCTGGGGAGAGGGCGCCGGGCATCGCATGGTGCTGGGGCTTCACAGGCCCCAGTGCGGAAAGGGGGTTCTGGCCTTTAGTTTTTCCTCAGCCTGCGGGGCAGCCCGTTGCCCTCCCCAGAGGGCTCGCCCACCCAGCTCGCTTCCTGCCTGCCTCCCTGTTTCTTCTGCGAGCTGCCTGCCCGCCTGCCTGGGCAATCCGCTCTGCAGCCAAACAGAGGCGGCTTCCCTCGCTCTCTTCTGGGAGAGCACCCGGGGCAGGATAGGAGCGCTGCGGGGCTTCGCGGGTTCCAAAGGGGCCTGGGCCCCGAGCAGCTCCTCTCCTGGGCCCCGTGGAGGAAGTCCGGCTTCCCTGGGCAGAGGTGGGATCCTGCCTTCCCACGCGCTGGGTCATCCTTGTTCTCTCTGTCTCTGCTTCCTTCCTGCCCTGCTTCCCTCCCTGCTGGCCCTTCCAGTCTCTGCCTGAAAAGAAGTTTCTCTACAGGGAATTTGCTGCCATTCCTTCTTCTAAACCTGTGTATGAAATCCAGGTACAATTTGCATGGATCAGGGGATGGTCAGTGAGCCACTGGAACGGGCGAGACCAAAGCCACCCTTGGTTTCCCAGGCCAGTCAGCCTCTGGGACGCTCACCAGCAGGAGGTGCAGACAGCTCCCTCTCTGCAGCTGGTATTTAAAGGCCTGCCCCCCCCACCAAAAAAGATAACCTGGAGCCCACAAGAGGCCCATTGTCCTCCGTGCATTTATTAAGTGGCCGTCACACCCCGTGACAGTGAATCCCAGAGTTAATTACGTGTGGTGGGAAGAAGTGCTTTCCTTTTCTGTTCCGAATCTGCTTCCCATCTCCATGGTCCTGGCGGTGTCCGCTCTCTCCAGGCCAAGCATGAACTGACCCCCCTTGACCGACCAACCAACCATTTCCCCCAGTTGCCTTTTTCTTCGGTGAAGAGTTGCCCCCACTGTGCTTTTCCCAGCTCTGCCCATCATCCCCAAGGGTGGCAACCGGGAATGGACACGGCACCAGCCAGCGCAGGGGTCTCTCCCGAGGGAGGACAGCCCAGTGCGGCCCCTGACTGCCCTTGTGGTCCCTGTGTGGACCTTGTTTGTTGAGCCCCCAGTTCTTTTCCCCATCGCTGCACAGACAAAGCCGGTTTTTTTCTTTGCTTCACGCTAACTTTGAGTGACCCGCGTTTGCTGCTGGGCAGAGCCTTCGCTCTCTTGGAAGAGATCCTCCTGGAGCTGCTCACGAGCACTTTGATTTTCCCCTGCAGGCCTGACCACCTCTTGGCCCTAAAGACTCACCCCTCAACAGTTGAGGGTCATCTGCAGGCTTAGCCAGCTCTCTGCTCCCCCACAAGTCCAGACCGTTTATGAACAGGTGAAAAAGTACCAGTCAAGACCCACCCCCAGATCTTGAAGGATTCCCCTTCTTCTCTCCTTTGAGAGACTTGTCCATGCATCCCTG